CAGGGTAGGGGATCCTCGCAGTAGATGAGCCTTTGGAGGACCTGTAGGCAGAAGGCTGCCATCCTGCCCACCAGGTCAACTAAGCCCTGGCCCCCCTTGGCCACTGGCAAATAAAGAATGGCTCAGGGGAGCCAGGGATGGCAGTCCCAAAAGAAGTCCACAAGAAGTTGCTGGAGCTTCTCAACAAGGTCCAGCAGAGGGTCCAACATAGTGCAATGGTGCCAAAGTGTCACAGCTGCCAGGGTGTTGACAATAAGGATCCATCTGCAGTAGGAGAGGCTGGACAGATGCCAGTGCCATTGCTGCAGGTGTGCCTCCACCTCATCACCAATGTCCTCCTAGTTCCATGCTGAGAAGACCAATGGCCCAAAAAACACCCCCAGGGCCTTGAGGCCCTTCCAATGCCAGGGCAAGTCGGGGAGGAGGGGGTGACTCAGGGACCGAGAAGGAGGGTGTCGCTCTTGGTCCAGTTCATGCAAGCTGAAGAGGTGCACTCATAGGCTTGTTGACAGGTGACCAAGGACTGGAAGTCACCCTGGGTGCTGATGAGGACAGTCACATCATCTGCATATGCTGTCAGCCTGACTGACAGGCAGCCCACTGAGATGGAGGTAGAGGGAAGATTCAGTCTGGTCAGGCACTGCCACAGTGCATGGAGTAGGGGCTCAATGGACAAGGTCTACAACATTCCTGACAGAGGGCAGCCCTGGCGGATGCCCTGGCAGGCTGGGAACAGGGTGAAGAGCATGTCATTTACCTGCAGGACATTTGAAATGTCCTGATACAGAACCTGTAGGGCAGAGGTGAAGACGGGTCCAAAGCTGAAGGCTTCAAGGGTCCAAAACAGGTAGTCATGGCTGACCTGATCAAAGACCTTCTCCTGGTCCAAGGAGATGAGTCCAATGTTGAGGCCGAAGAGGTCTGCAGCCATCAGCCAGTCTCGAAGCAGGAACAGATTGTCCTGGATGGTCCTGCCCAGCAGGCAGTAGCTTTTCTTAGGGCTGATGATGGAAGTCATAATGGTGTGCAGCTGGTTAGCCAAATCCTTGGCCAGGATCTTTTCTAATCAATGCACAAGAGGGACACTGGTCACCAGTTCCTGATGCAGCCAAGGTCTCCTTTATTAGGCATCAGGGTGAGGACTGCTCGGCAACAGCTGGTTGGCATTGTCAGGTCCACCAGACTCTCATGAAAGACACGCAGGAGGCAGGGGCCGAGGAGAGGCCAGAAGGTTTTATAAAACTTGGCAGACTTTGCCAGGGGATTTGCCTGAGGTGAAGTCCCTGATGGCAGCTCTGAGTTCCTCCAAAGAGAGTTCTCACTCAAGATGGTCAGCCTTTGATGAGTGAAGCCTAGGGAGGCGATCATGTAAGAGCCTAGCAGACTCTAGGCAAGTTGGTTCACCTGCAAACAGTTCCTGGTAGAAAGTGATGGCATGGCATCAGATCTCAACATGATCTGTGAGTGTTTGACTGTCTGGGGTCTTAAGATGGTCAATGGCCTTCTGTGAGGCTCATCATTTATCAAAGCTGAAGAAGAAGTGAGTTGGGCCATTAGTCTCTACCAGTTCTTGGCAGCAAGTGCGGACCGTTGTTCCCCAGGTTGCATTCTCTGCCAGCTCCAACAGATGGAAGAGCTTAAGTTTCTTGCGAAGCTTAAGACTCTCAAGCAGCCCCTCATCACCACCAGCATCACACAGGGCCACCTCCAGTTGCATCACATCCTCAAACTCCCGAACACAGCAGCAAAGATCACTTGTTGCCAACTGCAAGTACTGCTGACAGAAAACCCAAATCTGTACCTTTTCCACATCCCACCTCTGCTTCAAGGAGGGGAAGGTGGCTCTTGCGAGCTCCCATGTCTGCCAGAAGTGAGAAAAGTAGTCACAGAAGTGAGCATCCTGCAAGAGACTAGTGTTGAGTTACCAGTAGGGCACCCAAGAATGTATCCTGCCAAGAAGGCTCAGCACACAGGAAACCAGGCTATGATCTGACAGTCCTGCTGAGGTAATGTGGCTGCTGCACAGGAGTGGTAGGTGGTGCCTGGCAATGTACAGGCAGTCAAGGCATGCCATGGACAGCCTACCGGGGGTCACCTTCAGCCAGGTACACCGATTCACATCAACATGGAGATGGTACCAGACATCAACAAGGTCCACTGCCTCCAAAGCGGTCCACAACTTCCAGGCTGAGGACAGATGGGGCTCTGGCCCATTCCAGTCAAGATGTTCATCAAGCATGCAACTGAAGTGTCTTCCCAGGAGGAGAAAGCCATCACCATCAGCAGCACTCTGTAAAAAGTCAGCCAGGGTCTCAAAGAAGGTGGTCCATTCTCATCCAGCAGTGGGTGCATAGATGTTAATAAGGAGGAGGCAATGTTGTGCAAACTGGATATGAATGGTGAGCAGGTAGCCAGGGCTGACCTCTTGGGCTACCTCTGAGTCAGGCGTCAGCTGTGGTGACAGAAGTATTGTGGCCCCTGAGCTGAGGGAGGTGCCATGACTGAAGAAACTGTGGCCCTTCCAGGCAGCATGCCAGTCAGCTTGATTGGCTGCATTGGTGTGTATTTCCTGCAGAAAGGTGATGTCCAGCCTTTTCTGGTGCAGGAAATCAAGGATTGCCATCTACTTCACAGAGTCTTTGCAGTCATTGGCATTAAGAGAGTCAAAGGTTCTGGCAGCCATGTGTGAAGGCGTAGAAGTGGGGACAGGCAAGGCCAAAACAACAGAGGGAGAGCCAACAGAGAGAAGAAAACATGCAGGACAGGGAAAGACTGGGCCTACAACTCCCCAGCTGGTGCTTCTCATAACAAGCGCCCAACATCACCTGCAAGTTTACTAAGGCAAAAGCTATAATGCTGCATCCCTGGATTGGAGTGCAGCACCACTGTTGCAGCCTTAATGGATACCACAAATGTCTAAGGGTCTGGGAATCATTTGTGTATATGCTGTGCAACCCTCTGGTGGTGCTTGGTCTGGTCAAGAAACTCTATGAGTTTTTCAACAGAGTAGCCAGCTCAGGGAGGCTCCTCAGAAGCAGGAACAGGTTTTGCCTCCAGGGTGGGGATGCTCCCCATTGAGGGGAGCACCTTATCTGACTTGGGGGAGGGGTGCTACTACCTGAGGGAGGACTTCTGTCAACTCATCCTCAGAGGCAGAATCAAAGTCTGACTCCAAGGAGGAGGAGCTGTATAATTCAGGCACTGAGAGCCACTGAGTCCCAGGAGGAGCACTTGTCCTGTCACCAGGATCCTCAGCAGCAGGTCCTGTGGGAGCAATATCACCCAAGGGGTCTTGGGAGGTGAAATAAGTCCCTGATCTCTTGGGCAGGGTGCTCTCATGGGCCAGGCACTCTTGCTTCTGGATCTGCTTGCGGCTCCCAGAGGGTCCAACCTCCATATCAGTCTCATTAGGCTCAAGGATCTGAGAGATAGGGGGAGGGCCATCTGGCTCCCCCACCACCTCCCTTACCCTCCTGCCCCCCTCCCCCCTCTCATCCCCGGCCACTACAGGGTCTGGGGGGGATTCTGATGAGGCAGGTGGGGGTGGTGATCAATAACCTCACCTCCCTTTGAAGTGATGGGGAGGTCTTGAGGGGATAAGGAGGCCTTTTTAGAAGACCTCTTTTTCTGGGACTTGCCCTTCCCAGCAGGAGGAACCAAATCCTCCCCTGAGGGGGGAGAGGGAGGGGGGGCAGGTCCACTTGCACAGAGCCAGCTGACTCCAATGAAACGGGGCAATTGGGAGGAACGCCCTTCCCCACCACCCAATGGAGCTGCCACACCAGAGGTGGATGAGCCACCATCAGGCGCAGCTGCAGGTGGCTCCGCTGCAGCTGGCTTCTTCTTCAGGCACTGGGTAACCGGTGGGACCTGTTACCACAGTGTGGACATGAGGCATCACCAATGGTGAGGTAGACCTTGTACCACTGCACATCAATCATAAAGAACATGGACTGAGGCAAACCGCGACCCTCCCTCTTAAGCAGTGTGAACAGCTCCCTTTTAAAGGACAGGATGTGCCAGAGCTCAGGCACCTTGCTGCCAAGCAGCAATCTATGGACTGGCCCTGTAAACATGCCAGAAGGGCACAGGCAGTTAGTGAGTTCATTGTCCAAGAGAAATGGAGGCACATTTGAGGTTACCACAAGAACAGCTGGAGTGTCTAGAGGCATTGTGAGGCAAAAAATACCCCTGACCAACACCCCTGCTATCACAACCTCATTCACTAAAGCAGGGGAGCTCAAAAAGATGATGGGGACTGAACTCACCAAAGCAGCATACAGAACATGCTTACAGCCTACAAGTGCCCCCACAGCAGCAGCACACTCCTCCACTCCAATGGAGGAAGGGAAATGAAGCCAGAGACCAAAGCTCCGGTCCAGAGGGGCTCAAGCCCAAGCAGTGAACTGCTGGGCGTTGCTTCCAGCATTCCAGCAAAAAAAGGGTTAACCCTGCAAGGAACCAGAGGGGTGGGGGATGGGCAGCAAAGAAACTGGAAACAAACAAACTAACTAACCCCAGGGGAGAGGGAAGGGTAAGCAATAGGGAAGGAAAGGGAAAGGAAGGGAATGGAAGGGAGGGAAAAATGAGGAAGGGGGAAGGGGTGACTGCAGCAAAAAGGGCTGGGAATAGGAGGGAAAAGGCAGGGAAAAGTAATGAAAAGTGGGGGACTACACTGGGAAAGGGGTCAGACTCTCTAGGGGAGGGAAAACAAAAAAAGAGAAGGAGAAAGGCTCACAAAACAGGGAGAAGCTCTCAGAGCTCTGAGCAGAGACTTCTGTTGGTGGCCATCTTGAAAGAAAGAAAGAAAGATGGAGTGCCTTAAAATAGCATTGTACTTTCTGGCAGCGCAGCTGTACTGGTACTTAGTGCACCCATGGGTGGCAGATACTAGAAAGCCCCTCAAGGAATATTAGCTGTGAAGTAAGTATGGATCAAGCAGCAGCACCACCACCAGAATGTGTTGGGGACAGCAGATGCAATGCTTTCCCTCCTAAAAGCCACATATATCCTTTGATGGTGCTGTAACATGGTGAGCACAGATCATCAGTAAGTCTGACGAACCTTCCAGTCATGGCTCTACAAGTCCTCAATGGCAGAGCAGGCAGAGGAAGATGTGAGAATCCTAACAGCTGTGAAGGCAGTTTAAGACTGCAGCAGAACAAGATCTTCAGTTTTCTTTGCCTCCTTGCTATTTCATCCAGGCTTCGTTCCATCAAGAACCACATGATGTGCAGCAGCTTCTACATGATAAAAGAAATCACACACAGGTATCTCCAATGGAAATGGATTTTGCAGCACATTCTTTAAGTCCTTTGGCAACCAGCTAGTGATGATGGGAGCCAGACTGTGAGTCAGCTATAAGAAGGTCGACTAACACTTGGAGCCAGAAGTGCAAGTCAGTAACTATTACTGTGACTGAGAAGCCCTGTTTATAATATGTTCTGCTCACCCACTTGGGGAGGGGCTAGGAAAAGTGCCCTAAACATAGTCTGCCTACCATTTTCCTGACTAGATAGCTATGTTCAGTGGGATCACTTTTACTTCAGTCAAAATCAATGAAAACACAAATCAGTTTTGGGACCTAGAATATCAGGACCCTCATGGACCATCCTGTTAGTGAAAGACCAGAGCACTGCAATTGTGTGTCAAGAACTCAGGTGACACAACATTGACATCACTGCACTGAGCAAGACCTGGCCAGCAGGGGATGGCAGGTCAAAGAACAAGGAGGTGGTTATACCTTCTTCTGGAGGGTTAAATAGGAAGGAGAATGCTGACTTCACAGAGTTGGTTTGCCATCAAGAACAAATTCATAAACCAACTCAGTGAGTTCCCTATTGGAATTAACGAACACCTCATGACACACTGTCTTAAACTGTCAAGGAGCCAATATGCCACTGTCATCACTGCCTATGTCATGACTCTTGACACCACCAAAGAATCCAAGTAGAATTCTATTTTAACCTTGGTCAAGTCCTTTCTGGCATTCTGGAGGGAGACAGACTTATTCTTCTTGGCAATCTCAATGCCAGAACCAGAAGGGATTCTAACCTCTGGAATGGAGTCATCAGCAAAAAAAGGAGTAGGAAAAGTCAACTACAACAGGATTCTCCTCTTGACCAAATGTGTGGAACATGGACTTAACATCACCAACACCCTGTTTCACCAGAAAAACATGCACATGACATCATGGCAACACCTGCGATCTAAGCATTGTCACCTGATGGACTTTGTCATTGTTTGTGCTCAGGGACACAAAGACATCTGCAACACTTGAGCTATTGTAGGAGCTGACAATTGCTGGACCAATCATTGACTCATCCACTCAGTTATGTCACTCAAACTGTCTCCTAAATGATGGCTGCAGCAGAAGCAATGCTAATGGAAAATCAAACTCGAAGAACTCAAGGACCAATCAGTTGAGACCATTTTCATCAGTGCCTCAATGAAAAACTGGTGCGTGCCAATCAACAACAATAGGAAAATGTCAGCAGCACATAAAGTCCACTGTCATTTGTGCCTCTGAAGAGAAACTTGGATGCTCTACTAGGAAACATCAAGACTGGATTGATGAGAATGAAAGGGAGATCCAAGAACTGATCAACTGCAAATGCAAGGCCTTTTATGTCTGGCAGAACAATATCAACTTCACATAACACAAACTGAATCTCAAACAAGCCAAGGTAGAGGTCCAAAGAAGGACCCATAGTTGAAGACCAGATGATGGGAAGACAAGGTGAAGGAGGTTTAACATCTTGCTGACATTCACAATAGGCACTTTTTATTTTTCAGTGCCTCCAAAGCTAGCTAGAATCTGAGCACTGAGGTACCAACCCCCTTGAGAACTAAGGATATAAGAGACCTAATCAAGGAAAGGAGAGCCACCAATGCCTGTCGGAAGGAGCATTTTGAAGACCTTCTCAATTGAGACTTTGTTGTTCATGAGAGTGTTCTCAACTCCATCTGCAACACCTAGTCAGAGATGTTGGAATCCCTCTAACTCTTGATGAGGTGAGGAAAGCCATCAAGTAGAAGCAGAATAACAAGGTACCTGAAGTTGATGGAATCCCCAGTCTTCAAGCAGGGGGGATAAGCATTCACATGCCCTCATATTAAAGATCTGAAATGATGAGAAAATCCCAGATGACCTCAGGGATGCCATGATTCTGCTAATGTTCAAGAAAGATACAAGTACAACTGTGGAAATTATAGAGGAATTATCTTGCTCTTACAAAGATCATTGTAAGAACCCTCCCAAGCCACCTTCTTACATTTGGTGAAGAGCTCCTCCCTGAATCTCAGTGTGGAGATAGGGAATCAAGAGGCACAGCTTACATCATCTTCACTGTTTACCAGCTGCAGGAAATATGTGGGAAACAACATAAACTTCTCTGCGTGTTCTTCTGTGACCTCACAAAAGCTTTCGGCTCTCAATTGAGAAGTGCTGTGGAAAATCCTTCAGAAGTATGTCTGTCCACCAAAAATCATTGACATCCTTTACCTGCTTTATGATGGGATGCAAGCAGTGGTCCTCAATAATAGATCTATCACAGATCTCTTTGAGGTTAAGTTGAGAGTTAAGCAAGGCTGCATCATTACTCCAACACTTTTCTCAATATTTCTTACTGCAATGATACATCTGACCACTGCTTTGGTTTAACTACCAAATAGATGGTAAACTATTTCATCTCAGCTGACTCTGAGCCAAAACCAAGACCACTCTGACTTTCATGATCTCCAGTATGCTGATGATGCTTTAGTATGTGCTCATTCAAAAGCAGACTTTAAGGCAGTCATTGATACTTTTATTTAATGAAGGCATATGGGAAAATGGGATTGACACTTAACATTCAGAAGACTAAGTTCCTCCATTAACAAGCTCATAAGGAACCGTCCCCAGAACACTGAGCATTTCCTGTATTTCAGAATCCATCTATTGCAGAAGGCTGACGTTAGTAAAGAAATCCAACATCATCTTAAATGGGCAAATGCAGCCTTCAGACACCTGAAGGTGTTTGGAGATTACGACATCAGATCCAAAACCAAACTCATGGTTTATAAAGCAGTTGTGATCTCCATCTTAATGTAAGGAGCTGACATGTGGACAACATACAGGAGACACCTCAAGTTGCTGGAGAAGTACCATCAATGCTGCCTGTAGAAGATCCTTTGAATTCAGAGGGTAAACAGATGTGCCAATGTTAGCATCCTCTCACAAGGAAAAACCATAACCACCAAGGTGATGATTATAGAACATAAACTTTTCTGGGCCACGCATGTCATCTGGATGCCTCACTCCAGGCTCCTGAAGCAAGTTTTATTTTTTCAGCTCTGTCAAGGTGTATGCTCAAAAGAAGGACAGACAAAGTGCTTCAAAGATGTTCTCAAGGCCAACTTGAAAAAATGCAACATCGTTATCAAGCCATGAGATACTACTGCCCAGGACCACTACAACTGGAGGAAGTGTCTGCTGCAAGGATCTCAGTACTTTGAAACTGTATGATGACAACAGGAGATGAAGAAACAGGGACAGCAGAAAGAGCATGTTGTGGACTGAACCAAGAATCTAGAGCCACCCACACCACATGGAAACATTTTCCCAAGCTGCAACAGAGTCTATTGATCCTGGATCAGCCTCATCAGCCATCTTTAGATAAGATAATCAGGGAAGACAATCATCCTCAAAACTGAGTGACTGCTGATGAATGATACTTCTTGAGTTTTTAACATTCTTATTTTAAATGATGAAACTGAAAAAGCTGATAAATAAATTAAATGTAGCAATTTACTGTATAGCCTTTTAAAATTTGTTTGATGTCTAGGAGATCTGTAGTTCACAGGTGCTCTACAATTTTCCTTAACAGCCTTATCACTGGCTTGAAAATATTGTCCTTTCTCAAAGCAGACAGGTTGCTCAGCACTACTGCTGGTATATCACTTGTGTTTCCTGTTAAAGGTATCCAAATATGCTGATATTGTACATTTATAATGCAGTCCTGCCAACACTTGGAACTGAGGGATTTCACTTAGAGCCTCAGGCTGAACTTAATCATGAGCCAAATGAAAAGGCCAGGTTTCAGAGTTGAGAAAATGTATATTTAATGTAGCATACCCAACCCAATCAAGAAGTAATTCAAACCATTTGGGCATTCTCTCTTTCTCTCTGAATGTATGTACACACACACACAGACAAAAGGTTTTCTTATTTTCGTTCTGTTGTTGTGGGATTGAGTTGAGAAATATGAACATTTTAATCCATATAACTTCAAGACACACAATTTCATTCTTTAATTACCTTCATGACATCTAACAAGAAATTTGATGATGTGCTGAATTTAGAAGTGATTCCAGTCTACTCACTGAGTGTAGAGAAGGAGACTGATTTACAACCAGAGAGTAGGATTTTTAAGGAAAAAAAAAAAGAACCTAACATGGATAGCTAATCAAAAGAAAAGAGTTGCAACTGCCAGAATCTGCACCCTGGGCAGCAGCAATGGCAGGGGATGGCCCATCTGCAAAAGCTGGGCTGGCAGCAGCTATCATTCTTATGCTCCCTCAAGTGGGGCACATAGGGCTGGTGGCCCAATGCTCATTATGCTATGAGTGTAGACAGGATTCAGTTGCAACTCATCATAACTTTCTACCAGATGTTCAATCACAATGACTTAAATGAAGCTTTCACTTGATATTTTATAATCTTGTAGTAAGATTTGGAAATACCTCATGCATAGTGCATAGAACTTTTGACTTATATTGCATCTGGCAAATCTTGTGAGACAGTTTGGGTAAATATATAGCTTATTCTTACTTATGCATATCATAATTTAAAGTATTTTAATACAAGTTGTGTGCCTACCATATGTTCTAAATGGAGAGTTGAGAGGTTAAGTAAGCCAAGAAACTAATTTGGATTGTAAAACAAAGAATGAACATGTCTTAACAGACTATAAACAACTTTTCTTATAATTGACACCTTTTTGTAATCTGTGAATAGTGCTTGAGAATAAAA